CCAATGGTTGCGGTGGATATCCTTCTTTTTCAAGTGGACTATATTGGCTACTTCACAACTTGTAGGTTGGGTTTGCTAGTTTGCCATTTGCCACTTCCCTGAAAGTTGCAAAGATACTCTTTCTTCCAATGACCCCAGAAGACAATGGCAAGGTGCTGAACTTGCTCATGGTGATGTCAAACCAGCAGTGAAGTGATGTGACGTTGACATGGAACATTAGGGGAATTCTGTTCCTCACTGAACAGATTGGATTTCCCTATGCAACCTCCAACTTGAAGTAACTTGTCATGATTAATAATTGGTTTCAATTGTCCCTTCAATATGTTATCAGTCTCTTATTGAACACACAGAATGGGGATCTTTTCTGCTTGTGAATTTGGTGGTTCATAGTGGAAGGCTCTTTACAGATGTGCCATCCATGACACACTTTATGATCCTCAGTTTTGCTTGTAAAGTAAGGAGAAACATGGATAAGTCATGCAATAGCTTGTACAATAAATCACTTTGAAAAGCATTCAAAAAGGTGAGCTATTTCTTTGACTTCACAGAGGTATTGAGTGTAATGGTATTCGTTCTGACTTCCTTATCAGACTCAGGATTAATAAGTTAAAATGTAGAATCAGTGTGAATTTGTGAAAGGTTCATCATTATTGCGAAACTATTAGAACCTGAGGAAGTTTCTGTTGTCTCCTCAAACAATGAAACAGTGGAACATTTGCTGAATGTCGGCCATAAAAGCAATTCCTATAAGGTTATTGTTCATATTAGGCCAGGGGAAAAGGACATAATGAGAGGAACACCTTCATATCGAGCACGTCAGTCAAAGACCACTCTGATCTAAACTGGCTTACAAGGCATGTACATGCCACGAAAATAAGGGAGGTACCAACATTCATCTCTGTCCCTAAATGTAGGTGCAGACCCTTCTGCATAAAGTCAACAAAGTGTTCTTCATCTCAGGTTTTCTGTTCAGGTGCATTGTAAATCATTGTTCTGCATACTGAACATTATTTGGTAGTTTCTGTCTTGAGGTACAAAATGATAGTGGTGCCACCCAGCTGTTGGAATTGTCCTGACAGAGGTCCTAACTCATAGTTTTTTGGAACTCTTTGCTTTCCATGGTGGCTGCCAGCTCATTGTCTTTAATTGTTACATTGAAAACTGTGGTGCTGACAGTATCATTCCAGAAATGAAGGTCCTTATTTTTGCCTTGAGTGAAGAACTGTTGCATGCCTTTACTGCAAAGTCTTTCTTTGACATGGTCATGATGTGGGCACTGCTCGAAAAGTAATTTGACTATTTGGCAAGACACATGTGTTGAAAGAAGAAACTGTGGAAGACCTTCTGACATTACCAAGACAGAGACTGCCTATGATGACCCAGCCTAGGTTCAGGCAGTGTGCATATGGTGCATCATGTGGTCTGTTGATTTGTTGGTGAGCCTTGTTTATCCTTGGGATGTCTTTGCCTAAAAGCAGAATATCAACATATTTGTCAAGAGCTGGTATGTAGTCAGCTATGCCTTTCAATAGAGTGGTGAGAAGCAGCTGCAGGTGTAGGATCTCCTCTCTGTTGGTTGGAATTTGCTTGCACTCAATGAGAGTGGGCAATGATATTTCTACACTGCTATTCAGGGAGCTATTAAAAGATTACTGGCTTCCTTGCCTGAATATTCTGTAATGCCAGCAGAGGCACCCATGGGGTATCGTAAGGCATCTCCTGTTATGTTTAACAAATCAAATAGCTTTGATCTTGCAAGAGACCTGTTACTCTGATCATCTAGGATAGTATACAGTCTCACAGATTTTTCAGTATACAGTCTCACAACTTTTTAAGTTGACCCTTGGGGTATATATAACACAAACTAAGCATATTTTGAAATGGGTATTGGCAATTTGGGTTCTTGGTTTTCCTGTTCTGACCAGTCTTTTCAGGGACTGTGGTAGGTGTAGGTAGGCACATCATGCTTTTCACAGACACAGGACCTCTGTGTTCTCTGTGTGAAAAGCATGAGCTTGCAGGCCTTGGAGAATGTGGACCAAGAGAGTTTAACTCCCCCAAGGAGAAACTTGGATCTTTCTGAAATTCTCCTAATGAACTCACAGAAGTAGGAAAAGAGAAGAAAGGAAACTTTATTGTCTTCCTTGTACCTAGATCCAAGTGATGCTCATCTTTCCTGTGTACCATAAGGTAACTTGGAGACTATTGGGTTGACCCTACGAGCAGTATTATCTAGGTAACGGAGGCAAGGTAGGTGAGTATCAGCCTTGGTGAGCTTCCAAGAGAAAGTCACTGAGCTGTTGATTTTCTCTGCTAAATTGTTCGGAGGCTTTGCTACATTTCAAACAAAACCTTCAGTGCCTCTTTAGCTGCTTTGAGTCTTTTAATAGATTCAGTTGATTGAGAACTTGATCAGCATGATAAGCACCTGATAAGCAGATCTAGTCCTTCTATGGTTGTGACATCAAGTTCACTGATTGTGTATTTGAAGGTGGGTTTCCAGGCTCTGTAGTTTTTAAGTTTATCATTGAATTTAGTGGGACCTGTCTTGGTGAGCTCTTTGCGAAGCATGTATTTGGTGAACTGTGACATACAGTATCTCTGTTTTTTGTCTTTGTATGCTAATTGTTTCACCAAAGCGTCCATTTCTTCTTTCATCTCTGCTTTCTTTTGGGTAAAGCTGTCTGAATTGTCAAACCTTCAGCATCAGCATGGGCTTTAATAAATTGTTGACTGAAGTGGAAGATCTCAATTGTAGAGATTTGGCAGATCTTGTGGAGTATCTTGTAGCTGTAGAACAGTGGCATTTAGATTCATAAAGTTGTGTGATTCTCACTTCTGCCTTTGTCTTTGGAGCTGGTCAGCAGCTCTAAATAGGATTTATCATGTTATACATTATAAACCATTGATAGTTAAGGCACAGTGTTTGATATCTCTCATGGGTTGCAATGAAATGTTTGAGTGTTCTCCAATTCCATTACCTTATGAAAAGGTTGAGAAAGGGGTAACATGCAATCAACTTTTTTATACCATAAGTGATTAACATTAACGATAACTTCATCTTTATCAGCCTCATAACTTTGTTGAACCTTTCAAGTTGGTTTAAACAAGTGTTTACTTTTTCTGCTTCATTCTTGATCTGAAAAGAATTCTGGTTCTTGCTGTGTTTCAGCCTCCCCAGAAAATGTAATGTTTTGCTTAAACATTTTCCTGACAATGAAAGAGTTAACTAACAGTCTCTGAGACATGTATCAATTACCTAGTTCTTTGTCTGGAGGTTGTGTGTGAAAAACACATGCTGCTTTCTGTCTCATTTGTTTGAGAATGTATTATAAGCAGAAATAAGAATGGCATTTAGTAATATAGGCACCTACTACTGTATACATAGGTATAGTGCTACCCCCAAAAAAGCCGCTTGGTAATTTTGGATCTCTGTTCACTCCCAAACTCAGCATTCTGGATCCTGCTCTGGGTGCTTATATGCAGCAGTAATGATGCACCCTGGACACCGAGATGTGCACTCTCCAGGTTCCCTCATGGCAAGAAGAAATGTTAGTGATCTACAGTCTGGGAACATGCATTTCTTTCCCCTCCCTCTGCAAGGTCTGTTGGAGGTTGTAGTGCAGGCCATATCACTTTCAGTAGGCAGTGATCCCAAGGGGACTAGTTGTTTCATTATCCTCCTCCAGCCTTTGCTGATTGGTCCCTCTGCTGTTTCCCAGCAGCTGTGTGGGGGGGGGGGGGGATCGACACAGCCTGCAAGGCACCCAGCTACATGTATAATGTACAACTAACGTGTATACCAGTCCCATTAAGCAATCATTGTAGTATTGGTATTTTGTAGTTTGTAAGTTGTTGCGCTCTGATTAGGTTTCAAGCATGTACAGGCTTGTATGACAACGGCTGCACTTTCGTAAGCTGATTTATATTCAGGGTCCAAATTACATCTCACAGTGTATCACAAAGATATAGATAGATTTTTCACTGGAGCTAAAAGATTTGACTGGAGTTAAAAGGGTTTTTTTTTTTTTTTGACTGAAGCTAAATTATTTTTTTGCTGGAGATAAATTTTTTTGAAGCGTAAAAAATATAATATCTATAACTGATCCAGTTGTGGGAGGATAGCTGTAACTTGCAGTCTCAGTAGAATAAGCTGACTTGATCCAAATGACATCTTGCAGATTGTAGAAAGCTTTAGGGCCAGTTTACACCATGCCTGCACATGATTTGTACAGAATATGCTGTGAATTCCTGTATGATTCAGCCTGCATGCAAAATGCATTCCATTTACAATCTGCAGCGGGGGTCAATAGAAAGTTAACGATGCCCCAAACACAAATCACAAACGCTGTGTGTTTGCCCGCACCTGTCCAGACCGGATCACACTGTACTTTTGTACCATGCGATCTGGTTACAGTGCATTTTAAAAAGTAGTGCATGCACTGCTTTTGGTGTGGTGCAATTTTAACCTATTCAAAATGAATGTACTAAAATAGCACCACACAGAACCGCATGCGAATCACACAGGAACGCACAGCCTGTTACTGTGCGATTCATGTGCGGGCATGGTGTGAGCTGGTCCTTAATCCAAACTTGTGCAGATCTTCACAGACGGACATCAGATAGGTTAGAAAAAAATCATAGTACTGTATGTCTAGCTCCAGCATATGTACAGAACAAACACTAAAAACACTCTGAAAAGAGAGTGAGACTAGTTATACAGAGCATCTCCTCTGAGTGAGGAAGGGACAAATTATTTAAAGGCAAACAAACAACAATGCAGCTGTAGCAGGTTAATAAGAAGATTACCAAACTACCAAAAACTCTACTCAAAGGGATATGAAACTGAATTAATATAGAACTTGTAAACCAATCCAAATGCAATGTTTACAAGGGGGAGGTGTATTGTAGTCCCCATGACTTTATTCTCATGAATTGATCTGCACATTTGAATTTATATGTTTTTAGGATCGTTAGGCTTGCTTTCACTAATAGGTTTGCACACAGGTGTTCGCAACGCCGTGCACCAGGTTCATATTTTCTTAGGGGGATGTGTTTTGTAGTCCCAGTCACTTATTTTAATATAATGTTTATGGCTTAAGGGTATCTGTATACACAAATCACTATAAACCAGGGGCGGACTGACCATTTGGAAACCCAGGCACTGCCCAAGGGCCTGGGGTCAGTAGGGGGCCCCATGAGATGCCCCTGGTACCTTTTTCATAGGCTTTTTTGAGTGTGGGCAAGGACACAGGGGCCCCATGATCCCCTATTGCCCGGGGGCCCCATGAGTTGTCAGTCCGCCCCTGCTATAAACAATACTTTATTAGAGGCATACCCCCTATAGAGGGAGATGTATTATAGTACAACAAAAAAAAACAGAATACAGAGTTCACAAGAAAAGTGGTTACATAAAGGACAATGCGATACTCAGATATTCATCAACATATGCTTTTATTAGCAAAATTGCACATGAAAGACAATTGAGTAAAGACTGCAAAAAGCCATCACCTCAATATAAGACAATACACAGAGTAACCTTAAAACAAAAAAAGGTGTATTATAGTACCTATTAATAGGTGTATTCACATAAAAAAGGTAACACCATTTTTTATTATTTATACACACACAATAGGAAATAGAACACATCAGAATACATACTGACTAGGGAGGTGCATTGTAGTATTTTACAACACTACATTAGTAGCACCTCCAGACTTTTACAATAATAGCATGGCAGCGCAGCAAATTTAATTTTTCATATTGATACACATTCATTTGTGGTTCATTGCAAGCAGCAGCCTCAGGATCAGGGGCGGACTGACATTTGGAAACTCGGGCACTGCCCGAGGGCCCGGGGTCAGTAGGGGGCCCATGAGATGCCCCTGGTACCTTTTTCATAGGCTTTTTTGAGTTTGGGCAAGGACACAGGGGCCCCATGATCCCCTATTGCCCGGGGGTCCCCATGTGTTGTCAGTCCGCCCCTGCTCAGGATTGCCATTCAAACCGCTGCGCAGGATTTCGCAGGTATTCAATGTTTACAATGCCAAAAGTTTTTATAGAAGTGTATATTTCTTAGCTAAGATTTTGGTGTAAAGAGCAAAATGATGCTACAGACAAGCAGCCAGCAGGGCACTCTTCTGTTGAAGTTCCATGTACGTCTATTGAACTGTTGTTTACATTGTATGCTGGCCTAATTGTGTCCCTTAAGATGGAATGAAGCTCGTAGATCTCCATTATTAATATACTGAGGTATGTGCTGATGGCCTCAGGAGAAGAGCAAAAGTGTCATACACTGACCCCAGACTTCCAGATGAGCATTTCAGCTCTATACAGACTTAATGCTCTGTACTTATCCAGCATGCCCCCATAACTAGACATCGATCACTTGGTTGATTTTTTTTTTTTTTTTACTCTGCACCTACCCTGCTTTTTTTTTTCACAGTAAAAAATGACAGTTGCACATGACAGACACAGACTTTTAGACATGATCTGATAGCTTAATATGAGAATATACCGAAATCACGATCACATTATTTACACCTAAAGTAATCATGACATAATTGAATTATGCAGGCTGCCATTTGTAGTCCCTCCTAAAAATACTGGTTACCCGACTGTAATGAAGATGCTTTAGTTTTATTACTTTCTAAGTTACTGAACAATAACAAAGATAAGGAGTTCTGACTTTTCCCCAGCTTTTACTTGCTGTATGAATATTTAGAATCTCTTGGAAGCATAGAAGCTAAGAAAATACAGATAGAAAGAAGCCAGCAGGTAGGCAAGCCCTATTTTCTCTATTACATCTCATTACTGGTGCACGTAAAGCAGAACTCAAATAAAAAAATAAACAGATAAATTAACAGATAAAATAAAAGATAACTTTTCCTGGAACAATCTAGAACTTTCCTCAGCAGCTAGTTATTTTACACTTCCAGATGCCCTCTTCTAAATTAAAGGGGGGTTCCACTCATGCTGTCAAAAAATAAAAGTCCGCAGCTACAAAAACTGTAGCTGCTGACTTTTAAAAAAAACAGCCACTGGAGTGCGCATGCGCGGCCGGTGGGAAAGACATGTCCCGCTGAGGCTCCGTCTCCCCGTCGGGTGACAGCGCCTTGAAGCAGTGGGTCCCGGCTCGCAATATACCAGGAGGGGACCCGGTCCCCGTGGTGATCCTTCCGGGGTCCGATCCGCCCTCGGCAGCGACGGTTCCTCTGCAGTGAGTCGGAGGAATCCGACAGAGGACTCCGTCCCTGCAGCGAGCCGTCCATAGGCCCGTCCACCACTACCCTCTCACACAGAATCAGGGGAGAGAAGAGAGAGAACAGGGGGGCTGAGATTGGAATAACAGCCCCCCCCCCAATATAAGCGGCACTATGGTCAAAGGGGCACCCCGGCACCAGGTCCCCCCATCCACCAAAACTATTAAGGAGGCCCTGGCAAAGGCCTCCACAAAGATGGCCACCGCCCCAGCACATGGAAGCAAGCAGGCAGCAGGAGCATATGCAGCCCTGCAGGATCCGCAGCCCAGCCATCCCTGCACGTCTGAGGGTGAGTCTGACCCTGAACCAGATGTCCATACAAAAGCCCTGACGCCTGACCTTACACCCCTAGACCTGTTATCATGCTTTTGAAAAAATGCTACACAAGGCTTTGAAGCAAACCTCAGACCGCATCACTGCCACACTATCTAGGGAAATCCGTGAACTGGGACAGCGCACTGCGGACCTAGAACAGAGGGTGGATGGTCTTGACGTCTCGCTTCAGACATATACAGATGACCTTGATCTCCTGCGTGACGAAAACGCAACTTTATTGACACGGCTAGAGGACTTTGAAAACCGAACACGGCGCTCAAATCTACGTATCCGGGGCATTCCGGAAACGATCGTTGATGTACAATCGACAATAACAGCTCTGTTCCAAGAGCTTGCCCCAGCTATCCCAATCGATAGATTGGAATTAGACAGAGTCCACAGGGCGTTAGCACCACGACGCAACGACGGTCCGCCACGTGACATTATAGCCAAGTTTCACTTTTTCCGTACCAAGGAGCAACTTCTACAAGCTGCCCGCAACGCAGAATCTCTACAGTTCCAAGGTCATACCTACCAACTATTCCAGGATCTATGCCCCACAACCATCGCCAAACGCAGGGCTATGAAACCTCACCTACAAGTACTTCAACAACATGCAGTCCAATATAGGTGGAGTTTCCCTTTTGCAGTGCGATTCCGACACCAGTCCCGAGATTACACCTGCAAGCCGCCTGAGGACCTTATAGACACCCTGCGGACCCTGCAGCTACATCCCCCAGCGACGCCTTCAGAGAGCGCCAAGCGGAGGTCCACATCCAGCTCGCCACGGAAGTCCTTCCCCACGCGTGCAACTGACGGCCAATCCAACTTCCACAAGAGAGGGCGTTTTTCATCTCCGGGCCTAACCTCACAAGACACCATGGACTGAACTCTGTCCCATGTTTATCCCTTTTTTTTCGCCCCATATTTTTTATCGCACACACCATGCGATATACTCTTTTGATTGTCATTATGGTTAGCACCGTTAGCATTCTCTCTCCCTCTACAACCCCCCCTCCTGGGTTTTATAATAGTTTACATCTGGGAGCCTAGGCTTTGACGGCATGCGATGCCATACCCCTACACCCATGAGGTTTCACTAGCACCACTAGTGCCGTCTGAGTCTGGGATTCCCTGATTTTATCGGATGTTTTTCTCTTTTTAATATACCTGTTTTTTCTGCCGGGACCTTGCCACCAAATGGTAATCACATTGCTGTCATCCTTACGGTCCGCGTACCTGCGCACTCCACCTTAGCCCCTGTGTTATTGGTTATTTAATAACACTTGGGCTACTATTGCTCCCTAGCCCACCCTGACTCAGGGTGTCCTTGGGAGCCCACCTTTTAGGCCTTAAATGGCCTCCTACACCCTTTCTTTCCTGTTATCTCTCTCCTACCGTACCCCTCTTCCCTCCCTCCAACATGACTCCATGACTTTGCTTAACATACTCCGCAACAATCCTATCCTCCGCAGTAATCGTCAGGCTTCACCCTGGGCGGTGGTGCCATGCTATCCAATCCACTATACGCTTTCCCCATGGGCTCGTTAAATGTCCTTACCCTGAATGTTCAGGGCCTCAATATCCCTCAGAAACGTAATAAGGCTTTCCGAACCTTTGCTACACTTAAAGCCCACGTGGTCTGTCTTCAGGAAACACACTTCACTTCCAACTCCACTCCTAAGTTTTTTGGTCCTCGATATCCTCAGGTCTACACGGCCTCTGCCACAGCCAAACGAAGGGGGGTACTGATCGCCTTCCATCGAACAACACCTTTCGTGCCATGCACCGAAATCAAAGACCCAGAAGGTCGTTACCTCCTGTTAGTAGGGCAACTCCTCGATGTAGATGTCACCATTGTTGCATACTACGCCCCAAACCAAGATCCTTTACCATTCCTTTCACACATACTCTCGGTTATAGACCATCATAAACGAGGAACTTTAATTGTTAGCGGAGACTCTAACAATGTAATATATCCCTTTCTCGACAAATCTCAACTATCTCCTATCCCTGCTTCTAAACAAACCTTCCAATCCATACTACAACGTTATTCTTTGATAGACTCATGGTGAGAACTTAACCCGACCAAACGCCAATACACCTTCTATTCTCACCCCCACCGGTCATTCTCTAGGATAGATCATATTTTTGTCACCACTGCCTCTTCCCCTCGGCTTTTGACCTCTGAAATAATTCCCATTCCCTGGTCTGACCATTGCGCGGTGTTCACATCTATGGCCTCGTTGGCCTCATCCCCCGCTGAATCCTCTTGGATCATTAATGATAACCTGCTTGTAAACCCAGCTCACTGTCTAGAAATAGAAACAGCCCTTAAAGACTACTTCTCTCTCAATAAATCACCTGATATTTCCCCTCTCTTGTTATGGGAAGCACACAAACCAGTATTACGAGGGTTTTGCATTAGCAAACCATCCTTCTTAAATAAAACCAAAAGGCAGCAACGTCTTCTACTGGAGCAGACTTATGATCGTTCTCATCAAGCCTTCCAGACGGCTCCCACGCCTGCCAATCGTGAAACCCTGGAGCGATCTAGATTAGCCCTAGATCTTTTTCTCACAGACCAAGCGGAACTCTCACTCCGTAGATCTAGGCACAAATACTATACTAGGGCAAATAAACCCAACACATTCCTGGCTCTTTCACTTCGCAGGCTCGACCAGCTCACTAAACCTATCAGGATACGCACCTCCTCTGGTAACCTCACTAGTAACCCAGAACACATCCTACGGACGTTCCATAAACACTTGTCACAACTTTACTCCTCTTCCACACCTTTCGACCCCACACAGGCTGATACCCTTTTAACTTCCATTTCTTTCCCGAAACTCTCAGAGTGCCAGTTAGCAGCACTTGAAAGACCCATCTCCCAAGCCGAAACCTTAGACGCTATTAAAAATCTAAAGCTACGTAAACGCCCAGGGCCAGATGGCTTCTCAGCCACTTACTATAAAAAAAAATTTGCTCATCTTCTTACACCTATCCTCACTAATGCTTTTAACGCTTTACTATCTGGCCAAACCTTCAACCATGAAACAGTGGCAAGCGAACATTTCAATGATCCCAAAGCCGAATTCTGATGACACGCAGTGGTCCAACTATAGGCCAATCTCTCTTCTCAACATTGACATCAAACTGCTAGCAAAAGTCCTTTCTTCACGTCTTAACCTGTATATTGGCTCTTTAATTCATAATGACCAAGTGGGCTTTATCCCGACTAGACAAGCGGGAGACAACATCAGACGTGCATCCCCTTTGGCAAACTTAGCAAGATCCCGTAATATTCCCGCATATTTCCTGTCCCTAGATATCCGGAAAGCATTTGATACAGTCTCATGGCCATACCTCGATTATATTTTGCATCGGTGGGGTTTTGGCCCACATTTCTTAACCTGGATCTTCTCGCTGTATCGAGAACCTTCGGCCAGAATTAGGTATCTGGGGCACAGGTCAGCTCAGTTCCCGATCTCCAGAGGCACGAGACAGGGCTGCCCTCTGTCCCCCTTGCTCTTTGCTCTGGCTATAGAGCCCCTAGCCCTCTTAATTAGAGCTAATCCGGATGTCAGGGGACTCGAAATTGGGGGCACACACCATAAGCTATGTCTCTTTGCGGATGATGTCTTGCTCTTTCTCACGTCACCGTTGACTTCTTCACCCTCCCTACTCCGGCTTCTCGAGGCGTTTGGCGCGCTTTCTGGTCTAATAATAAACCCAAATAAATCTACAGCACTTAACATTTCTCTTCCCCTTAAAGAGTTGACGCATCTGAAACAGATTTTACCATTCCCTTGGTCACAGTGTCATATCCCTTTCTTGGGAATCAAACTGACTCCTGGATTATCAGATCTTTACGCAGCTAACTATCTTCCGATGCTAAACCATCTCTCTGCCCTTATGTCCAAATGGTCTTCCCTCCCCCTCGCATGGCTAGGCAGAATAGCAGTTATCAAGATGTCAATCCTACCAAAAATTCTATATCTGTTTAGAGTCCTTCCAGTCCCAGTCCCCCCTCATTACCTCCGCACAGTGCAGCGTCGCATCTTCTCCTATGTATGGGGCAATACTCGCCCTCGTATACCCCGCTCCACCCTATACCGCCCTAAGCTTGCTGGAGGTCTAGGCCTACCCAACATCATCAGCAAATATTACCAAGCAGCGCATTTAGCCCAATTACCTAAGTATCATGCAACCTTTGAAATCCCTCAATGGGTTGCGCTTGAATCAATAGAATGCGATCCCCTATCCACCGCTAACCTACTTTGGTTGAGGCCGGTAGACCGCCGCTCTATAACCAACCCCATCACTTCTCATTTTTTATCCTTATGGGATAAATTGAAAACCGTTACCTCCTCCAATCACTACATAATCCTATGCTCTCGTTTCTACAAAACCCAGCTTTTCCCCCGGCGTGGCAGACACCCCGTTTATTCAAAGCCTGGTCCTCCGCTAATTTGCTCCGTACGCATCACTTCCTACAGAGGAAAAAGTTTAAATCCTTTGCCTCGCTGCGGGAAACGCATAGCCTCCCGGCCTCTGAGATATTTAGATACTTGCAGCTACAACACTTTTACGCACCATACGCTACAATAACCAATCGGCCAGACACCATGTCTCTCTTTGAACGAGCGTGTTGCAAAGACCCTCACAGACGTGGGCTTATCTCCTGCTTATACTCACTCTTCGCCACTTCGACCACCATGTCCCCCCCTCTATATACCCATAAATGGGAAGTGGATCTAGGAAATTCGACCCGTCTGATTGGGACCGCATTTGGGCCAACACAAAATCGTCTTCGCAGAATGTTGTAGCATTGGAAACGAATTATAAAGTTCTAACCCGCTGGTACTTGGTCCCAGCAAGAATCGCAAAATTTACCCCTAATTACTCGCCCAACTGTTTCAGAGGCTGTGTGGATCTGGGAACACATTACCATATATGGTGGGACTGTCCTGTAGCCCGAACCTTTTGGGATGAAATTTTTACCATGATATCTACATTTAGCACTATCACTATACAGCCAGACCCAACGACAGCCCTACTCAACCAATGCCCTTCTGGCATCTCCAACTCGCAATTTAAGCTGTTTATGCAAGTTACGACAGCGGCTAAACAGGTTATAGCAAAGTCTTGGAAATCCCCTACTCTTAGTGTCGCGGCTGTCAAAACCAGAATAACTCAAGCCATGATACACGCAAAGGTGGAAGCCACAGTTCTTGACACGATCCCTAAATTCCTGCGCATATGGAGCCCTTGGGTAGAGCATTTCCTTCCGTCTAACTTTGACGAGTCACTGCTTCTCCCTTGAGTTCAGTACTGTACGACAAGGATATGGTACATAACCCCTCGTGCGTAGCGCGTAGAGGCTGTTGTGAACTTGATGAATATTCATGGAGTCATAGTTGTTGTTCTTCTTCTTCCCCCTTCCCCCCCCCCCCTTCCGCCCCTGTCTTACCCCCTCCATAATTCCCCCTATTTCTTTAATGCACTTGGGAGACATTACCATGATTGACTGATACCATTTTGCATTCTGTCATTGATTTCTATTTACCTGTTTCCGTTAGAAATGTATAGACGTTAATGCCTTGACCCTCATTCATTTTATTGTATCCTACTGTCACATCAATGCCTAATATGTATTAACAATGTCTCCTTGTTTGTGTCATCCCCATTTATTGTTAATAAAATTGTTTGAACAAGAAAAAAAACAGCCACTTACCTGCCCCTCAGTCCCACGGTGTGTCCCCCGCAGCCCATTTCACCGGCCGTCATGTATTCCAGAAGGCCGGCATCTTCAGTATGGGCACCTGGCTGTGATAGCTTGCGGATTCACAGCCGGGTACCCACTGCGCATGCGCGAGTAGTGCTGCCTTCAAGAATGGTCCTGTAGTCTTCTGGGACCTGTCACGTGTCCCAAAAGACTACAGGGAGGGAGGGTAGGAGGACACCTTCCACTTCAGGTCGACTTGGTGATCGGACCGGAAGTGGGAGCGGGTACCTGTCAAATTCAGGTACCCGCCCCCCCAAAGGTGCCAATCCTTAATGGGGAGCAGTCCTTAAAGCAGAACTTTCCCTTTTGGGTGGAGCTCCGCTTTAAGTGATGGCCAGCATCGCTTAACCCAATTCCTTTGAGCCCAGACCATCGCAGGTCCTCCCCAGCCTGTGAGGTTACGATGAAGAAGTAATGCATTGATGAGCTCAGTTCTCTGCCACTCTGCTTTCTCCTCTCGGAGTACTCCTTCCTTCCACAAAAACTGGTTGACTCTTCATGCTGCTTCTCTCTCCCAATCTGAGCTCTGTCCTACAGGGACTGCAAGAGGCTGGTGCCAATTCAGGTACTTGCGCTGCTTGGATTAACCTCCCTGGCAGTCTAATCAATATTTTTGAATGTCAAAGCGGTACATGGTTTTGCATGGACATTTGTTGTTTTATATTGTAGGCCTGTAATTCTTAGGAATAACTCCCTTAAATCTGTCCAAACAAGTCTAGTAAACTTCCCAGGTATGATAACGTTTGAAACACGAAATCATAAATTATAATATAATAAATAATTATAAAAAGTAATATAATAATAAATTTAATTCAATAATGTAATCAAACCAAAAACACTGAAATTTGAAATAGAGCGCCAAGTTCACACATCACTGAGCTCAGTTGCAGAATTGTTTTCAGAGTCTGCTTACGAATTTCCCCACAAATCATTATCACTCAATTCTGCAAGTGATTCTAATTCACTATCGCTGTTTTCTAGCTGGTCTAAAACCACTTTTGACCTAAAGGAACACTTTTTGGATGCCATGGACGTTCTCAGGTTTCCAGGCAGAAAGAATGGTAAAAGTGCAGGCAGGACACTGAACAAAGCACTAGGGACAAAATTTAGGTGAAATGGTTTGATACAGTAATGTTATTCTAACAGATTACAATGTATTGTGTGTATGTCATGTTTTTACTTTTTTGAATCTCCCACTGGTTCTGCCCCTCTGCGTCCCAATGCTTGCTTACAGTACCGCTTTTGGTACTGTAAATTAAACCCGAGTCACATTCGGGATTACCACTAGGAAGGTTAAAAAAATAATAAATGTAATCCTGTATTAATGAGCTACATTGCCATATTTTTCGCTCCATAAGACGCATTTTTTTCCCAAAAAAATATGGGGGAAAATGTCTGTGCGTCTTATGGAGCGAATACTGACCAGTCCTCCACCTGTCACTGCCGCCGTGTTAGGGCCAGCGGCTGTCTGTCCCATCCCACTGCAGCCTGTCCCCTCCCACTGCAGCCTGTCCCCTCCCACTGCAGGCTGTCAACGAAGTTCACCTTACCTTATCCACTCTGTCAGCGGGCTGTCCCCACAGCTCTTCATAGCAGGCAGTCCCCTCGCCACACCCAGCCAGCTTGCTCTGCAGTCCAGTCCGCCCTGCAGATGTGGCCTGTCCTCCTCGCTCCTCCTGGCTCCTGGCATGTCTAGGTACTGTACTCCCTGCCTCCCAGTCCGGTCCGGTTTGCAGGTGTGGCCTGTCCTTACAGCTCCTCCCCTTTCCTGTCATGTGTCCATAGTGCGCTCCCTGCTCTGCAGTCCGGTCCGGTCTGCAGGTGTGGCCTGTCCTTAAAGCTCCTCCCCGCTCCTGGCATGTGTCCATCGTGCGCTCCCTGCTCTGCAGTCCGGTCCTATCTGCTGGTGTGGCCTGTCCTCAGAGCTCAGTGCGCCCCCTGCCTTCTATAGCCTGCCTTCTGTAACTTAAAAATGACAGATGATGGGAGTTGTAGTCCTTTTCCTTGATGTATGGTGTCAGATCATTTATATGATGTAGTATGTCCACAGTCTCTGGTCATCCCCTGTACTGTGTCCGCAGTCTCTGGTCATCCCCTGTACTGTGTCCGCAGTCTCTGGTCATCCCCTGTACTGTGCCTGCAGTCTCTGGTCATCTCCTGTACTGTGTCTGCAGTCTCTGGTCATCTCCTGTACTGTGTCCGCAGTCTCTGCTCATCTCCTGTAGTATGTCTGCAGTCTCTGGTCATCTCATGTACTATGTCCGCAGTCTCCGGTCATCTCCTGTACTGTGTCCGCAGTCTCTGGTCATCTCCTGTACTGTGTCCGCAGTCTCTGGTCATCTCCTGTACTGTGTCCGCAGTCTCTGCTCATCTCCTGTAGTATGTCTGCAGTCTCTGGTCATCTCCTGTAGTATGTCCGCAGTCTCTGGTCATCTCCTGTACTGTGTCCGCAGTCTCTGGTCATCTCCTGTACTGTGTCCGCAGTCTCTGGTCATCTCCTGTACTGTGTCCGCAGTCTCTGGTCATCTCCTGTACTGTGTCTGCAGTCTCTGGTCATCTCCTGTACTGTGTCTGCAGTCTCTGGTCATCTCCTGTGCTGTGTCCGCAGTCTCTGGTCATCTCCTGTACTATGTCCGCAGTCTCTGGTCATCTCCTGTACTACTGTACTATGTCTGCAGTCTCTGGTCATCTCCTGTACTATGTCTGCAGTCCATTGGTTCAGAATATTTTTTTTCTAGTTTTCCGCCTCTAAAACCTAGGTGCGTCTTATGGCCAGGTGCGTCTTATGGAGCGAAACATATGGTAATTTGTGTTGGAGTTCAAGTGTTAGTAGAGATCTGGGTACTTATTTTTTGTAATCCCATCCAGTGTGGTCACATGATTCAGTAGCTACAGTGTATGGGAACACTTGACAACAGCTGTTAATTCCTGAAGCCATGATGTCTCCCATATGCTCACATGGTCCACCTATTGTAGGCACTCCCTCCTCTCCCCTGCAACAGCTACCTGCTGATATTGGGGAACCAAACCTGCTGGATCACATGACCGGACTGGATTAAAAATAGGTAAGTACACACATCTTTTTTTATACAGGGTATGCAGGATAAGAGGAGGTGAGAGGGAACATACCCTTTCACAGGAGTGGCAGGAAACCTCCCTGCACCGATCCCAAGCTGAGTGGAGAGTGGAAAGAATAGCATTCATGTTCAAATCGCATGCTATTCCTTGTGATACAATTTGCGTCCATACATTTTATATTGATGCAAATCTCACCGCAAAGTATCGGTTTGGGTATCGGGAGCATTTTCACAAGTGCGAACATTCATAAAAATATTAAGTATCGGCACCAATACTGATATCAGTTGTTATCTTTCCAGGCACCTGTATGTGTGATGAGACTGGTTAAAATTACCTGGTAGGTGAATGTGATTATCAATAAATGATTTTGTTTTACCTAGCTAGGATTCAAGACTCTCAATTTCTAGCTCTTTTTCACAATATAACCTGATTGCCATGTGTTACTAGAATGCATTTTTACTATTAATTCATTAGAACAGGGCAATGTGGTTGGGCTCAAAAGGAGGGACTACTGTTCCCCGTGATAAGGTTGGCACCAGGAATGTCTGATCATTGCATAAATGTACATGCTCAGCTGAAATTGCCCCAACCAGAACAGTTGGTGATCACACCTGTTCTGGTAGAGGTATGTATGCTTATGCAATGAGCAGATGTTCCTGCTGCCAGCCTTATCACGGGGGATCATGAATAGATCTCTGATTCCTCCTTAAAGAAGGCCTGTCACTGGCCAAAGCCATCACAAGGGACTTGTTCACCCATTTGTAATAGCAACAAAGTCAATTTTTTAAAGTGTAAAAAAATTGTAAATAAAAGAAATAAAATTAATTTAAAAACCTTAAAAGCACCCCTGCCCCCCATGTTTACATGCAGATTCAAACTTAAGTCAGCATGCTTATGTAAAAGTGATTGCACCTCCAAGTGTGAGGTATCATCATGAACATCAGAGTGAGAACAATCATTATAGGGCCATTATTCACAATTAACCTGTGAAGTCATTTTACAGTTGTTCACAATTTAAAATTTTAACATCTATTTATTTGACACAACCTCATCTTTTATATTTTACCAAAAACATTGGTATTATATTTTGTTTGTGCACACTTAAATTCATTTAAGTATATTTTTCCCTGAAAATTGCCATTGATAAACGGCTGCAAAAATATCTTGTGACATAAAAAAATTGCAGCTGCCACCATTTTATACTCTAGGAGGTTTGCATTCGGAAAATCCTGCACAATCTTGAGGCACCCCATTATAAAATGTAAAAAAACTAGACTAATAGTTGCATATAATGCAGCAACATCTGCACATATGTAGGACACCCAACATTAGAGGGGATTTATTCTTCCAAACCAAATACACTTTTGCACACTGGTACTGACTAGTATTCCATTGTGTCTCTTGTCCCTCAGTTTCTCTCTCTCACTCAGCTAATGTGACACCAGTGCTGATGGAGAGGAGCATGGGAGGGGCAACAAGGATGCTGTGCAGGGGCCCGATGTCCTTTTTTATCAACTGATGACATCATTGTTTTTTTACGTCGTCAGCAGCTAGGAAGTTGTAATGGCGCACAATGAAAACCCGTGGCTTTGTGTAACTAAAAGGCAGGCTTGATCCACCTGTTGGTTTGTATACAAATTTTGGGCAATTTTTAGGCATTTTGCCAAGGTACCCCTGAAGATACTTGAAGGCATCCCAGGGTCCCTGGGCACCCTGTTTGAAAAAGGCTGGGTTAACTCTGCTATGCAGTTATTCAGCTTCATATCTAATGACTTTGTATTTCAGTGTGTAGTGCAGACACCTTTTGTGCTGGTGCTACTAATTGGGCAAAAGTAGACTACCAATCAAAAAGCTCCAGCCCTGGATCAAGTTACTAGACTTTTTTGTGCCTCTTACAAAACCTCATTATGTTCTGTGTATCAAGAACTGGGTTTCAAATTTCTTACTAGATGGTATTATACCCCAGTACACTTGAATAAAATGTTTCCATCTAATTCAAACTTATACTGGAGATGTGGGATGGCCACATCTTCTGGTCCTGTGAGAAGGTTCATCCTTTTTTGGATGGAGGTTTTTGTACTATACAGAAAATTACTGACAATTCACTGCAACTGGACCCAACCCTCTTCTTGTTACATCATCAAACCAATTCAGTTGGATCTTATAAAAGTTCGATACTCCCCTCACTAATTAATGCAGCATGTAGCTGTATTCTGGCCTGCTGGAAACAACGATAAATCCCATCCGTGGTACAATGGTTGATAAAAATAAATGAAATATACCGCTGGAGGACTTGACCACTACTGAGAAAGATATCCAGGATAAGATTTGTTAGAAGTGGTCTCATTGACTCCTGAGTACCAAAAGCTCTTGGACACCAGGTGAAGGGGATGGTGGTGAGGTGGAAATATTTTCCTTTTTTTTTTAATATAGTGGAAATTGCAATACCAATTGGGGTTGGAAGTGTCTCTGTGGGCTTTCATTAATATTTTGACTTTGTCATGATACGATGTCTATGTTGAAAAGCATGCAACATTTGGGGTTTCTTTAATGTTTTGTTGGCTTTGTTTCTTTCTGTTTGTTAATATATGAAAATGTTCTCTGATTAAAAAAAAAAAAAAAAAAAAGCTCCATCCAAGGATATCTTCTAAGGTTTCTGGCATCCTATTAGCATTCATATCTTAAAGAATATGTAAACCCAACATTTCATATTCCTGATAAGTGCCTACTGTACCATACGCTTGTATGAAAAAGTATCCTGTTGTCTTTGCATTACTTCCTTTGTGTGAAAGCATTGGTGTTCCTGTCAGTTCCTCTGCTTTCCTATTAAAAACTGACCACACAAGGCATGAAACACAGCGTGGTCATTTCTCTAGTTGTGCTGGGAACTCAGTGTGCTCTCCCAGTAGTGTATTTAGGTTTTGTTTTTTTTCCCTAGGCAACACAAAAATTGTCTGCCCCCATGGACCACGACCAACACAACCCCCCCTTCCCTCTCCCATGTGGAGAGCCTGACACTGACCAACAACATCCCTGCCCCCCTCCCAGGAGAGCCTTCCACTACCCAGACACTCATCTTCACAGATCCGGACTTCCCCAGGAATGAGAGCAGACTCTACATACACATCAAACAGCCCGCAGCCTCTCTCGGATCCCGCCTGGTTCCCATGGCGTGTTTCCATTCTTTCATCCCTTTCTGGGGGGAGGTGCTGCCCCCCTGAAAAATGCCGCCCTAGGCAAGTGCCTTGTTTGCCTTCTGCTAAATACATCCCTGTGCTCTCCTCCAATGATTAAACTTGTGCTGACACCCCTCATCCCCCTTGCACAGTTATTCACAGTTGTTTCTCCTTCCTACAGCTGAAAACAGAAGGGATGTGATCACTTATAAAAGGGGAAAAAAAAGGTACTTATAATGTTTTTTATATACAGTATACACAAATGTTATGCTTTTCATTTCTGTTTTAAACTGAATGGGTAGTTTTACAAGGTGAAGGTTTACAATCACTTTAATCCCATTCTGCCAATGTTAGTATGATTTTGTAATGATAACATGTTAGCTGTATAAAGCATAGAACACACATTTAGACTGCCCATTTGTGTGCTAAGAAGATTCCTCCAGATCAGAATTTGCTGAATAACTGGAGGGGGTGCTCTGGTGGACAGAATGTTACAATGACTGTTGGCTCAGTTTACAAGCTTGGACCTTTGAATTTACATACACATCCCAGTGGGATCTGTTTTTTGAGATAACGTGTAATATTTCAAACAGCCATCTCCTTTTTTTAATATTTGGATAACTATTGTAACTTGTGAAGGACAGTACAACTGATAACTATACCTTGCAATTCAGTGTTATGCACATGATTATTTGGTTCTTCTTTATTGTGTTGTAAATAGCAAGGTTATTTACCTGAACAAGGTTACGAAAAGCAGAAACAGACACCTGGATATTTCATATGGTGATCTCTCGGGAAAGAGACTATTTGTTATAGTATTAGTGTAGCATGATGAGCTGTCAAGCGATGAAAACAAATTGAGATATTTAAAGATATGAAAAAGATCAACCCTGAAGGACTCTCCATGTAACCTTCTTGTGCATATTTATTCCCTTCTGAAGCTGACAGCTCTTCAGTGGAAGTACAATAGAAGTGTAGCTGAGACATGATGATTACAATAAACCTTATTAACACCGGATAACAAAGAGAAGGTATGGGGGAAAAGATCTTTTTGTAACATACATGCAACCTTTTCAGAAAGATGAATAAA